CACATTCTATGTTTCTATGTTTCTATGTCTTCTTCCCACAGTGCATCCTGCTGCCATCTCTTCCTGTGGTAATCAATGCACATACATCCAACTATCCACCCGATCTAGAAGAGTGGTATTAATGTTGTGACTGATCAGTGTGCTATCACTCGATGCTATCTCAGGAGACAATCCTGGAATGCTGAAACATCTACATTTATTACGGACAAGTCATGTCACAAAAAGTGTGACAATTCAGCTCACAAGAACCTTAATTACACATGATTAAAGCACCTGTGAGCTGCAACATGTCTGAGGGTTGACAATCTTTTCAGCCTGAATTTGTCTAATCATCACTTACAACTGGGAACTGCGATGCTCCTATCCTTCTGGAAGTAAAGGGCCATATTGCACTGGATAACAAATGATCAGACAGTCTAGGAGTTTACCCTCTGGGGTTGATTGCAACTTTAGCCTAGTGATTCTCAATTCCCTCGCAGTCCCAGTCATTCTCTGCTACTAGATTGTGTTGCACCTCTCAGAGTAGTGAGACTGACCTAAGTTTTTTTTTTTTTTTAGGAATACTGGGATTCTATCATCTCTTACAGAATCTCTATCAAGCCTTACAGAACAATTGTCCAGGACCTCTGGACACTCCCCGACACATGTGCACACATCAGTGGGGCTCAGCAAAGCCTGTACCTATGGAGCCAAGAGGCGTACCTCACCCATGTACCTGGGGAGCCATAAGGTGTACCTCTATTATAGAATTGCTCTATCGGTTGTGTCTCTACACATCAATGACATACAAGGCTAATCCTGTTGTAGCACTGTTTCAGTAATTGGCCTACGATTCTTACCCTAACAATTGACAATAATTAATCTAAGACCATAAGTAGATTAGTTTGTTTAATTTCATATTGCAATAGTAATTATAAGTTTAAAGTCTACAATGACAATTATGGTACTTTTTTCAGATCTTTCCTTAGTCATATATATATATATAACGGTTTGTAGCAGCTTGATTTTTTTGCTCTCTGTAGGAATTCAATGGCTTTATTAATTAATATTTTGTTTGAATCATAGAAAATGTTAATCTAATACAGTTTGTCTACAGTGCTGTATACTGTAACGTTAGCATGTAAGCTAAACTGCGCCATCTGCTGACATCAACAAGAAACACATGCTTTGTCCAAATAAACAAAAAAAAACAGTTCATGTATTAGAAACAAATAATAAGGCCACAATGGGCCCCTAATAAAGTACGGGTAACCCTCCCATACCCCATAGGTGTTGTTTTATTAATCATAATATATATATATATATTCCTGTACAGGTGACATTTCCATATACCCATCTAAACTGCTCTGGGGAGATCTGGCTTGAGCTCCTAACCTTTAACATATGTTTAATACTAACACGATCATATTAAAAAGTATCGTAGTTTTCCAATACATCCGGCATATTCAATGGATTTACTTGGCCTTGAATGTATCACTAAATAGATCACTAGAGTTGATACAGTTACACAACAATGATAAGTCACTTCACAGGTTTAATACCTAGTGGTACTTTATCATCAAGTACTTTAACTAGGTACGAAATGCAAGTGGCTTTATCGCTGCTGTGTCCTTGATCTTGACTCTACGGGGGATATTTTAATCAATGTAAAGCAACTGAATCTATTTATGAACAAACACCACCAATTATTTGAAGGAACAGTAATCAGACATATTATTATAGGGACACTATAGTCACCAGAACACCTACAGCAAGCATGTCAAACTCGTGGCCTGCGGGCCCAGAGGGACCATCTTTGCGGCCCAGCGAGCCGCGCGTACATGCCTAATGTTCCAAGCAGAGTAGGCACCTGCTTTCCCCATATTGCAGGTGCCTATTCTGCTATCATTTACCCGGCCGGGGAGGAGAGGTCTCTGTTGGCAGCGAGGGAGCTCAGTGTTCCAGCTCCTCACTGCTCCCTCGCTTGGGCCGACTGAAGTGAAGCCGGGCGCCGGAATAAGATGTCGTATTCCGGCACCCAGAATTGCTAAACTGCGTGTGGGAGCAGTGAGGAGCAGGAAGGACCCCAGGGAGATGCTCCAAAAGGTAAGGAGCAATAAAGAAAAGTATGTGTGTGTAAGTGTGTCTGTCGGCAAGTGTGTGTGTGTGTGTGTGTGTCAGTCAATGAGTATGTGTGTGTGTCTGTCAGTGAGTATGTGTGTCTGTCAGTGAATATGTGTGTGTGTGTGTGTGTGTGTGCGTCTGTCAGTCAGTGAGTGTGTGTGTGTGTGTGTGTGTGTGTCTGTCTGTCAGTGTATCTCTCAGCGAATATGTGTGTGTCTTTCAGTGTGTGTGTCTGTCTGACAGTATGTGTGTCTGTCAGTGAGTATGTGTGTGTCTCTCAGTGAGTGTGTGTGTGTGTGTATGTCTGTATGTGTGTGTCTGTCTGTCAGTGAGTATGTGTGTGTCTGTCTGTGAGTATGTGTGTCTCTGTCTGTGAGTATGTGTGTGTGTCTGAGTATGTGGGTGTGTGTCTGTCAGTGAGTATGTGTGTCAGTCAGTGAGTATGTGTGTGTGTGTGTCTGACAGGGAGTATGTGTGTCTGTCAGTGAGTATGTGTGTGTGTCTGTATGTGTGTGTGTGTCTGTCTGTCTGTCTGTGAGTATGTGTGTGTGTGTCTGTCTGTGAGTATGTGTGTGTGTCTGAGTATGTGTGTGTGTGTCTGTCTGTGAGTATGTGTGTGTGTGTCTGTCAGTGAGTATGTTTGTGTATGTGTGTCTGTAAGTGTGTGTGTGTCTGCCTGTGAGTATGTGTGTGTCTGTCAGTGTGTCTGTATGTGTGTGAGTATGTGTGTGTCTGTATGTGTGTGAGTATGTGTGTGTGTGTGTCTGTCTGTGAGTATGTGTGTGTGTCTGTCTGTGAGTATGTGTGTGCGTCTGTCTGTCAGTGAGTATGTGTATGTGACTGTCAGTGAGTGTGTGTGTGTGTGCGGCCCACATAAACTTAAACCTTGTTTATGTGGCCCGTGCTTATTATAGTTGTTCTTGTGAGTATAATCAGTCCCATTAGTTTTTTTGCAGTAGACACTGTCTTTTCAGAGAAAATGTAGTGTTTATATTACAGCCTAGTGATAACGCCACTGGCCACTCCTTAGATGGCTGCTAGAGGTGTTTCCATTCAGTGACTCCACCCTCTGCATGCAGACACTGAACTTTCCTCATAGAGATGCATTGATTCCATTCATCTCTATGAGGAGATGCTGATTGGCCAGGGCTGTGTTTAGCTTGTGCTGGATCTTCCCCTTATCTGCCGCCTTGACAGTCTCAGCAAATCCAATGCTTTCCTATGTGAAAGCATTGTGATTGGCTCATACCACCACTTCTGTTCATGTCAACCAAGAAGGCAGATCATGAGCTAAGCCAGCAGCAGCAGACTGCAACAAAAGTAAGATTTTGCTATATTTAAGGGGGCAAGATGGTGTATTTAACACTATTGGGTCAGGAGTGCATGTTGTTCCTTTGGGAATTTTATTCTTACAGATTTTTAGGGGTTTAGGAAGAGCCCTGTTTTTATGTTTAAATTCAATTTGTGTAGTCGGTTTCAAACAGATTTTGATTTGTCTAGTTTTGGCCAATTGGAAATCTGTTGGAAATATGGAACTTTGAAATGCTATATGGACAAATCATGAAACAAGAAAACAAACAACAGATGAACAGTTTTGTTTGTTTTAGTATTTGTTTGTGGCACAAAAAAAAGATGATTGATGGGAAAAAAGATGATGATGGTGATGGTTATTAAATGTTTAATTTTATTCACATATAAAATGATAAGACCAATAGAGGGGAAAAAAAGAGGAGCGATAAATCCAAACCCCTAGTTCTATATCTTTATATTGTATATTTAACAATATTTAATATATATCACTGTGCTGCAAAGTTTTCGCACTCTTTTGGTTCCTCCAAATTATTCTTCCCATAATTATTGCATGGCCGAAATTCGTCAGAAATGCAACATTGACGAACCCCCATTCCCAATGTGTGTCAGTGTTTATCTGTGTGTTTGTGTATCTGTGTGTGTCAGCATATGTGTATCTGTGTGCATCAGTGTGTTTCTGTGTCACTGTCAGTATGTGAGTATGGCAGTGCATGTGTATATGTGCATATATCCCAGCATACAAACACCAACACTACACACAATATACACATGCATTGAAACGCCATGACTACACATATATATACCCCTGCATTCAAACACTACACGCCCACAGGATGGGCAAATGACAGATCCTTAGCTGGCAAATCATAGTTGGAGTTGTATGACAGTTTAGGATCTACTTTTGGCCACCCTTGCACCTGTGCTCTCCTTACATTAATTACACCACTGATCAAATTCCTAAATTTTCTCCAAATGTTGCATTTTGGAGGCACATTCAAAGCTTTTTAAAATGCATATTGTGGGCCCTAATTAAGTGCAAGCCTCTTTATGTGATTTTCAAGTTCCTATTACTTAATTTTATCAGGTAATTTAGATATCGTAAATAAAAGTTACAGGTTTTTTTTTTTTTATATATATAATTGCAGAGGTTGTACATTACCTAAACATTAAAGGAGCACTATAGTGCCAGAAAAAAAACCTAATTTCCCTGGCACTATAGGGTCATTAGGTCCTCCCCACCCTCATGGCCCCCCTCCCGCTGGGCTGAAGGGGTTAAAACCTCTTCAGCCACTTAACCTCTCCGCCTCTTGCCGACACGAATGCGCAAGTGTGGCTAGAGCCATGCGCGCATTCAAACCGCCCATAGGAAAGCATTACTCAATGCTTCCCTATGGACATCAGCGTCTTCTCACTGTGATTTTCAGGCCAGGGAGATAGCCACTAGAGGTTGGATTAACCCTCAGTGAAACATAGCAGTTTTTCTAAAACTGCTATATTTTCAGCCACAAGGTTAAAACAAGAGGGACATGGCACCCAGACCATTTTAAAGATCGGAGCACTACATGGCAGGTACCTGCTCTGCTGATTTAAATGTGACGTGGAGGTAGTGACGTGATGTGGAGATAGTAAATGTGACATGGAGGTAGTGACGTGATGCGGAGATAGTAAATGTGACGTGGAGGTAATGACGTGATGCGGAGATAGTAAATATGATGCGGAGGTAGTGACGTGATGTGGAGATAGTAAATGTGACGTGGAGGTAGTGACGTGATGCGGAGATAGTAAATGTGATGTGGAGGTAGTGACGTGATGCGGAGATAGTTAATGTGACATGGAGGTAGTGACGTGATGCGGAGATAGTAAATGTGACGTGGAGGTAGTGACGTGATGCGGAGATAGTTAATGTGACATGGAGGTAGTGACGTGATGCGGCGATAGTAAATGTGACGTGATGCGGAGATAGTAAATGTGACATGGAGGTAGTGACGTGATGCGGAGATAGTTAATGTGACGTGGAGGTAGTGACGTGATGCGGAGATAGTAAATGTGACGTGGAGGTAGTGACGTGATGCGGAGATAGTAAATGTGACGTGGAGGTAGTGACGTGATGCGGAGATAGTTAATGTGACATGGAGGTAGTGACGTGATGCGGCGATAGTAAATGTGACGTGATGCGGAGATAGTAAATGTGACATGGAGGTAGTGACGTGATGCGGAGATAGTTAATGTGACGTGGAGGTAGTGACGTGATGCGGAGATAGTAAATGTGACGTGGAGGTAGTGACGTGATGCGGAGATAGTAAATGTGACGTGGAGGTAGTGACGTGATGCGGAGATAGTAAATGTGACGTAGAGGTAGTGACGTGATGCGGAGATAGTAAATGTGACATGGAGGTAGTGACGTGATGCGGAGATAGTTAATGTGATGTAAGATAGTGTGGGTCACTCAGTAAACTGGCTGCACAGCACCCCTGTAATTATAAGAAAAGGGAGACTGGATTGGCCTCATATGTATATTGAAAACAATTACTAAATAAAATACAAATCCTGTAAGAGTGTATGCACATGTATAGGACTGCAGTTATGCACATAATGTCCCTCACAAAAATGAATTTGGGAGAGAGACCAACGCGCGCATACACACTAAAATAAACATTTCATGGGGTGAGATGACAACATACATTTTCGCCCTGCGTGCCAGGTAACCAAGATAGGCCTCTGCTCTGGTTTGGAGTTAAAGGCCACAGGGTCCTTAGCTTTGGAGAAGGACATAAATGAACCCTTCACAATCCCTCCTGAGCTATCTAGTTAGGCATTTAGTTACTGTTACATCTTATAGGTGACAGGACATTTCTTAGGAAAAGGAACAATGATCACCATCTATGTCAGAAGATCTGTTCAAACTACCTCTACTACCATACTATTCGTTCTGAGATAATAAGTTGAACCTCTATTTTTCAGCCTCTCTAAACTATTACTCACAATAGGCTGTCAGTAATAGGCTGAGAGAATCAGATGACGCCAAGGCAAACCTTCCTGGAGTGGATGATGGCCAGAGGAAGGAACAGAGGTGCTACAGCTGTGGGTGTAGTAAACCAACTTTGGGGATAAACTGTTTAAGAATGGATTAAAGCAGCACGCTCAGCCCCCTCCTCCGAAAAATTTGCATGTCATAAAGATAGAATGTTTATAGAATACTCATTTTGACTGTATTGTAATTTCACTGAAATTGCAACCCAGTCAAGAGATATTCAGGGATAAATTAAGGACTACTCTGTCTGTGTATTTCTCCTCCGTCTACTTTCTTAGACTCAGGGCGGAGTCTAAGAGTCAATCCCGACAGCGGTTACCAGTGATGGCTGCATGGAAATGGCTGTGTCTATGGAGGATCCCATGATCTCACGGGATCAGAGACCTCAATGCTGTACTTTTGCACATGCGCATGCACGAAAGTACAGCTGTGACATTGGCTCCGAAGAGGACCTGCCGGATCTAGGTGGCCCCACCTACGAGTGACAGGTTCAGTTAAGTAAACTCACCTTTACTTGTCCACCCCGGCCACCGAGGTGATGTCTCTGTCAGGTGACTTTGCAAATTTGTCAAAGTCCCCAAATGGTGACAGTGCCGCTTTAACCTCTGAAGTTAAAACAGCACCCAGACACTCCTGCCTCTATAAAAACAAAATGAATTAAGATGAAGTTATTAAAGGGTTCCGAGTGTTCCTTTAAATTCAGAACTTGGTTATTTTCACATACATGCACCCTAATAAAATAAGACTGTTGTAGAAGTTCTCATTTTAATTCATTGTGACACATAACACGTTTTCAGTGGAAACAGAGACTGCACATGCCTCTTAATACAAGGGCTTTTCTCATCTAAACTGGTGCTAAATCAAGTCTCCAGACAGAAACATAAATAATAGGATTAAATGAAGTTTCTATATACGAAATAAGTTGTATAATGTCTATGTGTGTACTTGTTTATGTATTACAACCTATAAAAATGCTTTTACTTTTACTAACTCTTATCCACAAAACACTAATAATTACTTAAATTGTCTGTCTGTTTTTAATTATGTTATTATTAGATTGGTCCCTTTTTGCTTGCTTTCATCACGCTCCCCCCCGCCCCCCCACCCTCCCTACCATTTCTAACAATGGATTGCCTGCTTGGAGATAGTCTGTCTTAGTGAATATTCATGAGCTCAGCAGTGGTTTCGTTTCCAATGGAGACAGTAAACAGACTGAAAAAGGCCTGTGTAGGCTTTTGTTAGATGTACCTTAGTCTCAACAACCGTCTGTAAACAAAAACTAGCCATCCCTCATTCGGCAAATGACTTTGTTCTCAAGCCAGCATTTTTTTTTTTTGTGTAAAGTAGAAACAATCTAACAGAATTCAGCTTATGAGGAAAAAAGAAACATCTCACCTTAGCAACTATTTAAGCTGATAACATTGATATCTTTTTTTCTAATTTTTAAGGATTGCTAGAAAGAAGAAAAGAGGACCCGGGCGCTTGAAAAAATGGGGAGCAGACAAGTGTCCATCAGACGGGCCACTTCTGCAGGATACCGGCTTCCAGATCGAAGTGCAGCAGGGGTGGAATCACGTTCTACGGTCTCTTTAAACAAGACGTATCCAGGGGTGCGACAAAACCCACCACTAGATACCAAGGACAAGGAGAAACAGATCTGGGGAGGTAATGTCAGACAAGACCAAATCTGGAGAGAACATGTGGAATCTGAAAAGAGAGGAGAGAAACGCTGGTGAGTCAGTTTTGCTGGGATTATAGATTTTTTTTAAAATACATTGGCATTGGCGTTACGTTTGTGGATGCAGTAAATTTTACTTCCAGTTACTGGGCTACCACATTTAGAAGGTCCATAAATATCTCCAAGTCTGACTGATATCTCTGTAGGTGAACAGCCATCTAGATGGTCCAGTCAAATAGTTGTTGTTTCGATTTCCAATCTTTGTTCTAATAATATGTATGAAAAGTAACGCATGCAAGTCAGTAAATCAGGAGTCGTTACAAAAGGAAATTGCCTTTGGCAATCTAGAGAAACTTAGTGTCGGCATTTCTTCTTAATGGCTGTCGTACATGTGGTGAAATAATATGAGCTAGTAAACTGTGAACTGCAACACTTGCAATAAAGAAGTCTTGATTTATTTATACGTAGATCCACAAACAGTGATATTTACATACCCCCCAAGTGTCCCTATTAACGAGGGGCAGTCCCTATTTTGTTCCCAAATCTCTCTCTTTCTATCCTAATGTCCTTCTTTTCTAGGAATTTTATTTTAAGCGTATAACAGAGCTCCACAGCAATAATACTCCCAGTAATGTGTCTGAGTGTATAACAGAGCTCCACAGCAATAATACTCCCAGTAATGTGTCTGAGTGTGTAACAGAGCTCCACAGCAATAATACTCCCAGTAATGTGTCTGAGTGTATAACAGAGCTCCACAGCAATAATACTCCCAGTAATGTATCTGAGTGTATAACAGAGCTCCACAGCAATAATACTCCCACTAATGTGTCTTTAAACTGCAATAAATGTGTTTAGAAATCAGTCTGTGTAAATAAGATACATTGTTCTTGTTCTAAATTACATGTTAGTTTAATTAAAGTGTTCTTATTTGTCCATTGGGAATGTTGGAAGGTATATATAATGCTACATATATAAACTGAGTTAAATTGTTCCTTACTTCACCTGTACTTTTCAATGCGATATTCTGCACATGCAGTTTATAACTGTTTTTGATACATGTTGTTTACTAGTAATAACTTTCCGTTATTAACTTTTTTTGGTGAGAGAATCTGGTAATCTTGTCATTTTTAGACAAAACATTTTTGCTTTAAGCAATACTATAGTGTCAGGAACACAAATATGTATTCCTGACACCATAGTGGTTAAATCACTATTTAGGTGCCCAGCACCCCTTGCCTCCCTTTGAAAAGGTATTTAACTTTTTTCCAGCGTTGCACTGATCTCGCCGCAGCTGGAACTGCCCACATGACTGAGATAATCAAACCTGATTATCTCAGCCAATCCAATGCTTTCCCACAGGAAAGCATTTGGAGGCTGTTACGCATTCATGGCAAAACGCTCTGCTGCGCCAATCAGCATCTCCTCACAGAAATGCATAGAATCAATGCAACTCTACGGGGAGTGTTCACAATGCAGTGCTGATTCCAGAACCATCTAAGGAGTGCCCACTAGAGGTGTTACTAGGCCATAAGAAAAGGCAGTGTTTATATTAAAAAGCCTGCATGGACTAGCTATAGACACCAGAGCCACTACATTAAGCTGTATTTGTTCTGGTGACTATAGTGTCCCTTTAAGTGTTTTATGTGTCTGGACTCTGTCATGTTTGGGACAGTTTATTAACGTTAATAACAAGCAGAACTTTTATAACTAGGGCACAATCACCACCCTGCTGTCACTGAGAAAAAGGGATGGTTTCTTCTGCTTCTGTTAGCCCCATAGAACTAAGAGAAGTAGCAGACGGACTGCCCGGCGCCTGCCTGGCTTCTGCCCGGCGCCTGCCCTTCTCTTTATTACAGCTCATTCAAAAATTAAAACGTTCCAGCAGAGAGGATTCCCAGTGAAAAGCATTGAATCGGAGTATTCCCCAGCACTGAGTCAAAGTGAAGAGGAGGACTCGCAAAGGCTGCAGAAAGCAGATATGTAGCCTTTGCAAGATGGGTTTTTTTTCCATATACCCCCACAGCAAACATGCAGACAAAATGCAGGCATGTTTTCTTTGCGTGTTAAGAATTTCTTTTTTTTTTTAATGGAGTATTTATAGCTTTCATAGTTACTGCAAAATCTCTTTGAAGAGACTTGGCCATTGCCTTCAAAGTCTCCACTCCCTATCATAACTTTTAGATTGTAAGCTCCTGGGCTTAGTACTTTGTATGACATTGCTGTTAATGCTAGATTTCAGCTCCTCTGTTCCTTTTGTACTGGTACGTGTATACTCTGCGCTCCGGAATATGTTGGAGCTTTATTACCAATGCCAGTAGTTATAATGGTCAAAGGAAATAGCCAAACCTAGCCAGAACAGAAAATCCCTTTGTTATTTCTTCCAAACCTGCTATATTGATCTACATTCTGCCATTTAACTGATAAAAGTGCTGCCCAGCAGATTGTATTATATATTTCGTGAGAAATGATTTTTGTTTTTCTGTTTTAGGGAGGAAAACTGGGGTTTTCTCATAGAATACGATTCACAGGTAAGAAATGTAAAATTAGAAGTACATTCTAACTACTAGACTTTACAGCAATAAAACCTATTGGTGGGGGAAAAAACTCTATTCAATATGCGTCTGTATAGTTAGAACCCTGTACATTTCCCTTCTAGAGAGACTTACACAGTGGCAGGCAATCTTTAGTACTCCAGGTGCTGTGGACTACATCCCCCATAATGCTCTTGCAGCCATAATGCTGGCAAAGCATCAGAGAAATGTAGCTCCGTGTTACTTTATATTACCATGAAGGGGTTATAATAACCCGATTAATGCACCCTATGGGATGGGGTTACAACCTTGGGCGGTGGGAAGGGGATGATAGACCTAAAGGACAACTGTCACCTCAAAACTATTTATGAATATAATAATCATTTCATCAAGTTTTAAAAGGAAATAGATTTGTTTTTAGAATTAAGTATATGTTAAAAAAAAATTAAAAACTCATCCCTATCTTTAGTATATGACAGGATCCTTCCCCTACGTGCACCTTGAGTCAGATAGTTTTTGAAAACCGAGAGTTAGTCTCTATGGTCTTCCCTGTTCTGTGCATAAAGTGAAGCAGGGAAGACCATAGAGACTAAATGTTGGTTTTTAAACACTGTCTGACCCTCCCCGCTCCCTCTCCCCTGTTTTGCTCTAATCAACATTCCTAACCAATCTAAAAATTAACTGAAATCCAGCGATGAATGGTCCCGTCCTGGTCTCCACTTTCCATCGGACTTCACTCCTTCTCATAGAGATGCATTTGATTGGACCATTTCACGGACTCAGAGCGCATGTGCGTTGAGGGAGGAAACACGGATGGACATGGCAGGACATTAAGCTGAAAAAAAAAAATAAGTAATTCAGTAAATTGAGGGAGGCAGAGGGGGTGAGCTGAGAGGGAGAGGAGATAGAAACTTCTCCTTGGGAGTGCGCTCCCAGCACCGCCTGCAAAGGTATAAGCTGATAACGTCACCAGCATGCAGTGTTCGCTGAGGATAGACATTGTTTTTGCACAGAATTTACATTAGGCAGCCCCGAACAGAGTCACGTGTGCCGGGGGTGTAACTAGAAACTGTCACAAAAGTGCAAATATCTCTATTTGCAGCATATCAGGCACAAACACTGCACATACAGATTACAACCACCATAACCACTTCTAAAAGAATAAGTGGTCAGGATAGTTGGAGTTAACCTATAATGTCAAAACAGCAGAACTGGAAAAACTGCAGTAAAACTAATTCTAATGGTTACCAGAAAATAGACCCCAGCTGTTGCAGAACTCTTAACCATTTAGATAGTTGGGATCCAACGTGGTCCCATCCCAGGGGCTAAAACCACTGCACTAAAAGCATGGACGGAACCTATTAATGAAAAGTATTAGTATACTAGTATTAGTGTAGCAAACACATTTTGAACTTTATTGCCCAGTTGTAATACCTTTTAGGATTAATTCTCAGCGTATACAATATATAATATGAATTAGGGTTTTGTGTGTGCTTATATTAGACATCTGCGTTTTTTCCCTCCAAGTCAATGTTAATCGAGGTAAACTAATGTTTGTATATATGTTAACCAACAAACACATCTCTAAGTTATCAGCATTTTTTAACTATCTTGTTATGTTCTAAATACACAGGGCAATGAAAAAGTACCAGAAATTCTACCGGAAGAGGCCCATATGTTTTCGGAAAAAATGCCAAATACCACCAACCAATATATCGGCAGCAGGCTAAACACCGAGCTGGGTAAAAGTCTGGTTCACATGGATTTTCTCCTCACTGGTGGAAAACGAAAGAAAAAGCTTGGAAGTGAACTCCTGCCCTGTTAACATGGAGACCTGCAGAAATCTTTCCAATAAATCGTGTTAATCAGATGGAGAACCTTCTAGATATTCAGACACTGTATCGCGATAAAATGACATTTTCTTGATGTACTCAAGAAGCCTGGAATCATTAATATTGGCAAATACATGGTTGGGGTCGGCAAACTCTGTGTAGACAGAAGATCCAATAGAGAAGATGATGTTTAATTGATACTTTACTAATAAGAGGTGTATCACTACACTAGATAGATAGCTGTGTTAGGATACGGAGAAAAGCAGACAGTTGCATGCTGGGAAATGGAATGTTTACATCTCCAACACGTTTACATTGTTACATTTCTCACTGCGAATGTCAATGACTTCTAGTGATTTTTGGCCTACCCATGATTGATCACCTTGGGAAAGGTGAAACATAGAAACCTAGAATGTGACGGCAGATAAGAGCCATTCTGCCCCAATTCTGTGCCCAATTTTCTAAATACTTTTATTAGTCCCTGGCCTTATCTTATATCTAGGATAGCATTATACCTATCCCACTATTTCTTTTTTGAAATATAATCTCCTCCTTTACCATGTAGATTGGGATTCCCTTTATGCATTTAAAACTGGTCCTTACAAACTAGACGGATTGTTTACTAAAATGTAAATTGTCTGGAATTGAAAGTCTCTTGACTTTTTAATGTTTACTTCCGTCCCCCATATTTAACAAACGTATTTGAAGAATAATTTCAGCGTAAGATTACACAGAGTGTTTAGTTAAAACCTTGAAGGGGTTATAGTTAGGTTTAGTGTTAGAATGGCCTTCAATTTAGTATTGGGGTATATGGGGTGTTTAATTTTTAAGGAGGAGGAGTTAAACCTACACAATCACTAAAGTGAGAATTTCAAGTGAATTTAAACTGCAGAAGCAAACTAGCATAACTTAAAACAACTTTAGCTTAATTAAGCAGCTTTTGTTTATAGATCATGCCCCTGCAGTCTCACTGCTCAATTCTCTGCCATTAGGATATCCCAGCGGCAATTACTTCTTACATCTGACTTTGCAATAATTATAATGTGTGGTATATACGCCCTAAATAAATTACTTTGAATCCAAGTTCCCAGCATTATATCTACTGTATTGAACGCGTGATAGATACTGACATTGAACCGCACTGCAATTCTGTCCTCCCGAATTCTTACAAGTCCCAGAAAATGGTATAATTATGAAATGCAACCCAAAACATAATAGTGAAATATTGGCAGGCACTTGGATCTACCATTCTGCACATTATAGCTAAAATATGGGTGGTTCTTACAAGAATTTTTCAAAGACTCCACTAGATAATATCTTAAAAAAGGACATTCAGCAAGGTTAATGGTATACAATGCACCACATTAGGGCTAGGCAACCTTTTAGCAGCACTGTGCCGAAATAGGATTTTGATGTCATAGCGTACCGGTCTTATTTTCTTTTAAATTGAGGTTGTATGTTGCCGTATTCTGCTTGACTTACTTATACTGCCGTTACTTTGTATCGTTGTATTTGTGCATATATGAGCTATTATATTGTGTGTGTTCAGGAGTAGTTTGTGGTATCGTGTATGATACATATGAATGTGGGCTGTGTATGAGGGCTGCTTGTGGAATTGTGTGTGTGGATGGATATGTCACATTGTGTGTTTGGTAGTATGTGTATGTGTGGGGGCTGTTTGGGGTATTGCATGTGAGAGGCTGCATGTGGCATTGTGTGCATGCATGTGGATTGTCAGTGGTGTTACATTTGTGCGGATTGTGTGTATGTTTGTGTGTGGGCTGTTCGTGTTATTTGTATGAGGGGAGGGTTATTCTGCAGCTCTGTGTATATAAGTGTGGGGGGCTTCCAGTGGGGACCAGGCTGGCCAGGTACATGTCAAGGACAGGAGTTGCAACAGCAGCTGTGAGCTGCTCTATTCCAGTGTGGATTCCTATTCACAAGTGCTGGGAGGAAAAGATCTGAGATCACTTACTCTATGTGCTGCAATGCAAAAATTGAGGATTCTCCTTCACCATCTTTTCGTATTAGCAGATATCTGAAGTATCCCTGGGACTCCTGATAGGCCAGAGCCTGTTTGGCTGTTGCAGCCTTGAGTGCTGTGCAAAGACACCTCGAGTCCTGTGCATGGCACACGTGCTATAGGTTGCCTACTCCTCCACTACACGCTATAGGTTTAAAGAGACTTAGGGATAGGGAGGCTTTAGAGTTAAAAATTCACCCCTGGCATAGAATCAATTCCATTCAACATAAGCATTGCTAACCCAAGCTCATTTAATCCTAAACCTCAACCCTTAACATAGTCCTTTTGAGCAAGGTGTTTTTTGTTGTTAGTAACGAAGCTACAAGACCAGTCATCATAGCGTTAGGGACATTTAAAGTGTGCTCTTTTAACAACCATATTTCCAATTTAGATCGTACACTTTATCCCATAAACGGCTATGTTCGAACACCTGGTTTTTTTTTTATAACTCCTAATAAATTATTGTACATTTTTTTCTTTGCTGATTATTCTTCCCTTATTTCCTTACACTTTCAAAATGAATTTAAAATTTAAAGCCAACCTAGCAGTATTGGGAGCATGGCTGACTGAGAAGGTTTCGACCCTTCAATTTTAAATTCGCATTGAATTAACTTTGATTTTCCTAAACGTCTCATTGTAGTCCCAAGTATATTATAATAAAATAGTAAAAATGTATTACTGTGCTTCTGTAATGGTTTGAGCAGCATTCTTGTATGAATCATGATATCCGATTGATCTGCACAGTCGCATGAAACACGGATATGAGAAAGAGATGTCACAACACAGGGGAACTTAATCCTATAACAGGAATTGCTGGGAATTCACCAAAGAATATGCTAACTGGATATATTCTACAATTCAGTCACTGCCTACTCAGTTGTTTTGAACTAAACGTTGCCATTCCTTTGTCAGATTTCCACGATTGCCCGTTTAGGAGATAACTTCAAGGTAACCCTGATTGCCAATTACAGGAGCAGAAAAGTAATAGCATTCTAACAATGTATGGGTAGAATTATGATTAAATTACATAAAATTGTGCTTTGCATTTATGAAGAGTAACCACTAGGTGTCAATGTAGTCTCATTTTTTTATCGGCATTAAGCTGAAGTGGCCTGGGTGCCTAGAGTGGTCCTTTAATAAATAGAAAACCTTATGGGGGTAAATAAGACCTTCGTATCACTAAAAGGGAGTAAACCTCCCAATGTTGCATGGCAGGTGACCCAGCATATACTTGAAAACGAGAGAAATCTCAAATGTATCTTTCCTGGTAAAATATTTTATAAATAAACATCTACTAAAAGGTTTAAAGCTAAAAAAAGACCCCACCCAAAAATGAATGGGATTATTCACTGTCTACTACAAGCGCCCACACATGGCCAGCAATGGGGACTATTAAATGTATGCTAATTGTCAGCAGGTACGGACTGTTTGCTAAAAGGGGGGGACCTAATGGGTGGATCCCCTCACATGTTTAATTACTTAGAGTCCCATCCCACCGCCAGTGGATGAGGGCTGGGTGGGATGACACTAGATCCCCCTTGTTTAGTCATTTAAAATGTTTAATTTAAAGTCCCCACCTGACGCCCATGGGTGAAACATCAATGGGAAACGGTTGGATTGGCATGGGGGCTGCCCAGTCACTAGTTTTAAAGGTTTAATAGATATTTGGCAGGTGGAGCATATGACATTTAAAAAAAAAAAAGTCCCTTACAGTAATTTGATGGTCTTTTTAATTGTATTTATTTTTACATTGTTAATGTGGCAGCTTTCTAGTAAGTGTTGGATAGGGACCACACGGGTAATCCTTGCACTGCCGAGGGTTATTTAATCAGAGCTACCAGCAGGTAAATAGTACGGGAAGTTACCATTCTCTTGCAAAAAGCAAGTGACCGATAATTTGCAAATGTGTGTCCTGTGCATTTGGTTCAGAATGTTTGTAAAACTGGTGCTTTGTGAATTTTCCAAATCCTATGCTTTGTATATGGTTCAGATACAAAAGCACTGATTTTAACTCAGACACCAAATGCATTTACAATTGCCATTGTGGGTGTAATTTGCTCATTTTCACTGGATTTTGTCCAAAATAATTTGGATTTAGCTTGACAACGTTTTAATGAACATAAAATAAATAATATAACATATATATAAAAATATCACTAACTGACCTTTAACCCCCATGGTGGAATATCTGTAGTATGTTAAAGGTAGGTACCACTCACTAACTGACCTTTAATCCCCATGGTGGAATATCTGTAATATGTTAAAGGTAGGTACCACTCACTAACTGACCTTTAATCCCCATGGTGGAATATCTGTACCCTGTTAAAGGTAGGTACCACTCACTAACTGACCTTTAATCCCCATGGTGGAATATCTGTAATATGTTAAAGGTAGGTACCACTCACTAACTGACCTTTAATCCCCATGGTGGAATATCTGGTTACCACTCACTAACTGACCTTTAATCCCCATGGTGGAATATCTGTACATGTTAAAGGTAGGTACCACTCACTAACTGACCTTTAATCCCCATGGTGGAATATCTGTAATATGTACTGGTCAATAACTGACCTTTAATCCCCATGGTGGAATATCTGTAATGTGTTAAAGGTAGGTACCACTCACTAACTGACCTTTAATCCCCATGGTGGAATATCTGTACCCTGTTAAAGGTAGGTACCAATCACTAACTGACCTTTAATCCCCATGGTGGAATATCTGTACCTTGTTAAAGGTAAGTACCACTCACTAACTGACCTTTAATCCCCATGGTGGAATATCTGTACCCTGTTAAAGGTAGGTACCACTCACTAACTGACCTTTAATCCCCATGGTGGAATATCTGTAATATGTTAAAGGTAGGTACCACTCACTAACTGACCTATAATCCCCATGGTGGAATATCTGTACCCTGTTAAAGGTAGGTACCACTCACTATCTGACCTTTAACCCCCATGGTGGAATATCTGT